CCCCCAACAAGTTTAAAAAAACCCACACCAAAACAGGAGCAAAATTTCCATTTGTTTTCCACTGACTTACCCTATACCTATTTTAAACAATTAAAAGTGTATATGTACCCTTAAGTCAATTCCACCAACAAAGACTGTGTTTGGCATGATTTTTCCTTCTGGTAAAACATAGCCCTGACTGACTGGTGCAGAATAGGCATTGCCCTCTGTGGCATTTGAACACTGGGTCTCCACACGTGCTGCCTAAAAGATTTAAACAGAAATACTTATTTTAGTCAACTGGAAGTATACACTTTAAGACACCAGAATGCCTGCGGTTTCCTATAGATATAGCATGGGACAAGGAATTTCAATAGCACAAATTCATTGGAAAAAAAGTGAAGTAATTATTCCAGTAAGTTTCAGAAATTTAAATATAGACCTAGTCTAGACTACTTTAAGTAGCCTTGTGAGACTGTATCAAGCTTTGTGACCAATGTTGCTACTACCAGGATTTGCCCTTACCTCTTTTGCTGCACCTCCTCTTGCACAAGAAGTTCTAACACTTGTCAGTTCAAATAAACTGGCTCGACAAAATCTGGCAGGAAGATTAACGTGAGCAGTTCTTCACCCACCTGGTATTCTGCTTTTCTTTGGCTGCATACCCAGCTAAAGGGCATTTGACCTGAAATCTGAGATGGCAACTCCACAGCACCCTCAAGCTGACCTAACTGTTGCTTCTACTTCTTTCTTTCTGGATGTTCCAGCGAACCAAGCTAGAAGTGGTATTTGCTTTGTTGTGCAAGTTCTCTAGCAGCCTAAAACAGGAAACAGTTCTCAGCAAAGGGGCCCAGCAAGTGCCAGAACCAGCACAAAGAAACTGGTAACCACAGATACTGCTGGTACACCTGTCACACATGGCCTTGGCTGCCATGGAAGCGCAGTGTTCATGTCTCATACTAATGATGCAGAATTTTCAAAGAAAATTAACTTATTTAAACACTCTCACACATTAAGTACCTGAAAGAAAGAATAAACAGACTACTTAGGCATTCTGGCAAGCTGGGAAAACATCAAAATTAAGATTTATCAATAAATGTATTTTCTAGAACTTGAAAAGGAGATGAAAAATGCACAGTGGTATAAGTCTCCCAAGAACAAAAAGAGGAAAGAAAATCTCCCTCCAAAGCAAATTTTCAAGTCTTCAGTACTATGATGGAAAACTTTTGCTAATTCAAAAAATTACTCTTATCTAAACCCAAATTATTTTGCCAACATAGCACTACACAAATGACTGTCCTACAGACACTATGTGCAAAGACCTCACACTAATGTTAAATCAGTGTCCAAAGCCTAAAACACCTCAAAATTTTCAAGCGTGAAATCCTGCCAATGATGAATTGGTTATACTGGAATTACAGCATCAGCTGAAGTGACTCACCCCTTTACTCTAAAAGTCTAATTTGTCTGATCTCATTAAGTAGCTTTCAAATCAAATTTCCAGATGTCAAAAATATTAGGGTTTATTCAGTTTTTCAGCCTATCAGAATTAAGAGGTGTTTTTTTTTCTTTTCTCACCAAATATAAAATTAATCTGTTTGCTCTCTACTGTTTCTGCAAGCATGAAGTTTAAATTGATAAGGGGAAACTGGTGTGAGGTCCTCCTTACAGTAGTCAGGAGACTAGTTATAGATTTTTGGCAAAAGAAAAGGTGGGAAAGGACGATCATTGGGCCAGGTGGAGGAAATACCTACCTACCCACCTAAGTGTGTTACAAACCTCACTCAGTTTTATGTTCATCCAGGAGAGGAAAACCTCCACCTTTTTTTTTGGCCACACAAGCCTGCGATTTCTCAGGCTTTTCCCTGAGCCTCGGCACGTTTTTTATTTAAAGTAAACATTAGTCTTTTTGAGGCATTTAAACCTCGTGAGCCACGTCCCGCTGCGCAGCCTCTGAGCGCAGTCTCCATGACAGCGCCGCTGCCTGAGGGAAGAAAGAACACGCAGCCTTCCCGCTGGGCATTAAGTGGAGCCCTCAGCCCAGCGCTGCACGCTAGCCACTTACGAGGCACAACTTCTCCCGCATAAAAAAATAATAATAAAAAAATAAAAAATAAGTCAACCCTCCACCTTACTCGTATGATGTTGGAGGCGTCAGCGCTACAGTCACAAATCACGTTTCTCAAATAGAGAGAGCAAACAGCAAGCAGCATATTAGTGCGAGACGAGGAGCCCGCAGCTCCCGCTGCCCGCACGGCGCCCGCAGCACTCCGGGGGACGGCGGGTCTTGGCTCTGCAGGTGAGGGACACCGGGCCGGGGAGCCTCGGGCGAGCGAGGGGCCGCTCGCGGGGCCCCGCCTCCAACGGCCGCCATTTTACGTCCTCACACCTCGGCTGCCCAGCACCGACGGGGCGTAGGTAGGAAGGTTTGGCGCTCAGGACAATGGAAGCTACTCACAAGCCCCTGAGAAGGGCTCCTGCCGCACCCTACGCGCAGCGAGTACACCGCCATGGGCAGGTGGAGGGGCGCCCCGCCCGGCCGTGCGGGACAGCGCCATGTTAGTCATGCTGTCATAAAATGGCCGTTCGTGGGTGTGAAGCGTCTTCCGTCGCCCTGCCTCCCCCAGACAGTAACGCCGACGGCTACGAGCCACACGTTCCCTTGCACAAGCCCCCGGCCTTTCAATTGCGGTATCCCTCCTTGACCTTAACCGCTCGCCTCGTAAGGTTTTAAAACCTTCAAGACAGCTAAAATGCTATCAGCCCTCAAGGGGTACAGCCCCCTTACTGCGTTACAAGGGACACTTGTAACCCACGAGGGCATTCCTGCTTCTCACCCCAAGAACAACCCAAAGAACTTGCTACTCCACTCGCCGCTCCGCTGCCCGCTGGAGGGTCCCAGCAAGGCACTCCATCACCCAGCAGAAGCCCACCCAACGCTCCCCATTATCCCACCACCCCGGTATGGCTCCCCTTCCGCGTTTACTCACCATCACTCTCTGAAGCTGAGGCTGCGCTCACACACTTAAAAAATAAGGGTTTTAAAACAAAACCGCTATGAACCTTTTTAAGAAAACTAAGTGCAGTCAGCTGGTTTTCTTTGTTCACGAAGCGGAGTTCTCGAAGTCGATAGAAGCCAAGCAGTGAAACGCCGTTCTCCTTAAATAGCCCCATTGGGGGATGGGACGGAAGAAGCCACACCCGCTCCCTTGTTCACTTCACACTCGTCATCCGCCACTGCCTGCTCTCCGCCCCCCGCGCGTCGAGGCTCCTGTTCCTTGGAGTCTGAGTTTTAGAAGAGAAAGGATCGAGAATACCGTGGCTTTTCTCTTTTTGGGGGTGAGAGACTAGATTGCGACTAATCATTTGGTTCCTTGTTGTGTTGGAGGATGCTGTTGAGTATGTGTGGTAGCAGCAGCTCCTGCCATTTTAGTAAGAGCTTGCACTTGGCTTGTGAAAGTTTAGAGAATGTTGTTGAAGAGCCTTTCACTCACTTTGGGGTAAAAGCTGTAGCTCACGAACTGATGCTATATAGCTATGCTAGAGTAATCTGTCTCCATCCTGTGACCAGCTTTGCTGATGATCTGTCTAATCACCAGTGGCCTAAGGCCATTCTAGAAAGAAACCTCTCTGGAAGTCCTCCTGGCTCTACAGTAATAAGATGGGATTTTGAAATTAATTTTAAATAGAATAGCTGTTTGCCACTGGTATAAAATGTTTAGAACAGATACTGATTTTAGAACGTTCCAGATAGAGGGGAATCTTACAGACATCTCACCAAAATTAAGCCAACCTCTGTCTGGGCTAGATTAGTAAAGTGTTTGATTTATGATTTGCTGTTTTTTTGTTTTTTGTTTTTTTTAAGTGGTACAGACATACAAGTGATCCTTGTTGAGGATGAAAAATGAAGTAGAAAGCAAAACTGATAAAGTGGAGTGTATTTAATATGTGAGGTGCTTTTTTCTATAAATTTTTATGTCTTCTAATGGTTAGATTTTTTTTTATCAGTTTACCATGTGTTCACCTTTTCCAGATGTTATATTAATAATCCAAAGTAGACTGCTGCACTGGATTTGCATGGGACCCAGAGCTGGATTAAGTAATACAATAACAATGCCCTGATCACAATAGATGTATTTAAGTTACCTATAGAAGAGATTTTGTTAAATCAGGCGGGGTTGCAATACTGTGTAAAGGTAAGAGCATATGCCTGGGCTTTCATGCAGCTAATGCCCACTTACTGAAATGAAAGGCATATTTTATGATACTTTTATTAGATCTTCTGTATGTTTATGCCTGAGACTTTGAAAATGAGCCTCAACAATGACAGGAACATATAGAGACAGCTGTGCATGATTCAGAGCAAAAGTACCTCCAGTTCAGTATATTAATTCAGAGAAGCCAGGAGTGCCTAGAGAGGATGTGAACATGGGGCAGGTGTAGAGTGATTTTTCTTATTTTTATTTTTCCCTTGTGCTTGTCAACCTTTAAAGCATTTCCTGAGCCCTTTTTGTGACTATTTGATAATACTCAGTGATTTTTCCTGTAAAGTTCTCTGGTCCCTTTTTGAACTTGGTCTTAACACAGGCACAAGAATATTTAACACTGAGGTCCACAGGGCAAATGGCCAGAGTATGGAAAAAGTACTTTGTTGCTTAAGCTTTTCTCCTTATAATTAGAGCTATCTCATTCATTCAACACTAGGTAAGATAGAATAAAAGTAAAATATGTTTATGAACAATTTCTCCTTGCTATCTTATGCTTCCAGGGCTCTGAATTACAACAAATTGTATGCATCTCTGGTTTCTAGAAAGAGATTTTTCACTGCACTGGGAGTTTGAATATTGGTCTGCTTTACAATTAGTTTATTAGCAGGTTTTTCTACATTTTCTTTAAACTTGCAAACTCTGAAAACTTTTCTTCCCTCACTATACTATAAGTTCAAATTACTTGCAATGACAGGAGCCACATCGCTTCCTTTAGAAGAGGTGTTTCACCTTAGTGTCTTGTGTTGAAAGAACGGAATGCAGAGGCCAGAACAAATTGAACTAATACTGTCTAATATTTGTCACTTCCTTGCAGAGTCTACCCTTCTACTTGCTATAGAAGAAAAAGGATGAAAAGCAGGACCCTTTATTGCTTTTTTATATGCTCTATATACTTCTGTATACTCTAGGCTGCCCGGCTTTACAGAAACACGGCTTGGATAAATCTCTCAGCTCTCTGCTTTGGCCCTGATTTAGCCCATCTTTCACTCACTTGTTTCCTTCTGGAGGGCTTCAGTGTACTTCTGAACCTAATGTACTCACTTGGGTACACTAGTTACAGCTCTTTCAAGGGAGCCATCTCCCTGCAATTCAGTACTATTGAGAACTAAAATATTTATCCCCTTAAGTCTCTGATTCCAAAGATACTTTTTTGCTTATACCACTTGGACCCATTCTTTATTATGTAATTTTCAGCCAAGCAACAACTTTAACAGAATCTCCATTTTATATTTGATTAAATAAACCCCAATGATCCTTTTTTCTAATTTTCCATTTTTATAAAAATTATTCTCTGACAAGGATAGAACTGAGAGAGGGAGAAAGGTATTTTGAAACGTTCTCTTATACAAAATCCTAAATCAAAATTATATTTACAGTATGTTATAAATGGTCTGAGCTTTTTAAGATTATTTGTGACCACAGATAAAAAAATCACATAGGCATTTAACATGATTGAAATAGTGACCTGTAATCCTATATCCAGACTCCTTACACTACTGTATAAAACTGGGAAACCCTAAAATGAAAACATGCAGTCTGCAGATGCCTGCTTGTTTTTTGAACCTTGGACAAATCTTTGTCAATTTTGGACTGTTTTCATATATGGCTAAAAGTCACAGGCTTCTTCTCTGTCTTCATTGCTTGATCTGTCCTATGTGCTGACACCATGAAGAAAGAAAATCAGCAGGTTTTGCTCCTCTGAGGGGAGCTATCTCATGATACATGTACCGAGCCCTTTACTCCTCACATCAGTGCTAATTGCTGTATTTGCATCTCACTACAGCTGGCGGGAACAAAGACCGGGTTTGGAAGCAAAGTAGTTGATCCATACTTAGGATTAAAGATCTTAAAGTACTGGTTTAAACTCCTGCTGCCCCAAGAGCTTCCTGGAGGACACTCACTTTCTTAAAGGAACAGGGATTCAAGTTTATCTCCTACTTACCAGGGCGCCTGACCAATCCTGTAAGAATTTTCCTGTGACCTTTCCTTAGTTGCTGAACATAAATGTTTAGTACGGTTATGAGGCTGCTTCAGTTTATTCATGGATGCCGTGAGGCTCACTACTTCCTGACTGGGTAAGAAGAGGAAAATGAACGATATTCATCATTTGATGCAATCAGTAGCAGAAGGAAATATGTACAATAAATGTGACATTTCCGGCTGGTGTTTTCCTTTCTTATACAAAGAGTTAAACACTTAAGAGCAGGGATAAGTTCTTGGCTGTCGGAGACTTAGCAGCGCCGATAGAGACATTAGACCAGTAACTAAAGATCTTTTACTGGAGCAGTAACTGGATGGCCGAGGATTATTTGCGTATGACTGTCTACACTTGACAGTTTTGCTGACAAAGCTGCTCTTGTACCGGACCTGTCAACGAAATCTTATGATTTAAACACAGTTCATATCTACATGACAAATGGTAGAAAATGAAATAAGCAGTGTTCCACTACAGGAGAAATAATTCTTGTTTAGTACAATTGCATTTGCAGTAGAACTCCCAGCTAAGATGTATATACAGGGGAGAAAAAAATTGCCTTCAATCTGTATTGCAAATATATTATGCCAAAAATTCTTGCTGTGTAAGCAAATCCTACAAAATCTTTACAAACTTCATATCTAAGTCTCTTTTCTAAAACAGCTAGAATCGTACAGGAAAGACAATAGCTTCCTAAACATATTTTTGCCAAAGGGAGCCTACAGTTCTGGTGGTATAGTGCTTTTTGTGTGCTCATACTCACTAAGGCAAAAATCATTAACTCCCTGTTAAGTGCACTTAATTTGAGAGTAATGCAATTTTCCAAATCTTTCTCAGTATTCTCTCTACCAGGTGAAAAAAAATATATTTAAATAATGTAAGAAATACATAGGGTATTGACTCCATAAAGGTTATCATTGTGCGGTATTTTCTCACAAAGCTAATGTGTACGAGGTTATAAAAATAAAAGAGCAACTTCTTCCTTTTTTGTCCTCTACAAGGTCACAGTATCATTTGGTGGTTGCTCATTTAAAAAGGCAGCCAAAAAAACTTCTCAGTATTCAAAAATGTTTGAATCAAAGGAAACAAAGAGGAGGAATGGTAAACACTGAGAATGGACTACGCACAAATCTTACAAATAAATAGTCAGTCTAGAAAGATGTTAGGCAAAAATATGAAGTGGCGTGTTTTCTGCAATACTAGTCTTATGGCCTGAGCTCTCTGAAAACCTTCCTGGAAAACCTCTACAGGAACACTTCCATTTTCTTGCTTTCTCCTTCCTGAAGACTTCATTCCATCCTTTGTGTCAAGACATACTGTGTGAGTGTGTGTATATATATGCATATATTGACTAAGTCATGAGGGGCTGCTGCTAAGGCATCAAGTCCTTTACTGCATCAGAGAGCGGACAAAGGAGGTTCTCCTCTATCTTCTGATGTATCTGTGTCTCCTTTTCTGATCTATCGTGGACTGTGAAACAGTTCTGACTCTCAAGGAGGATCAAATTGTTTATGAAGTGAGAGGAGGGAGACGTTTACAAGGCCTGAAACTTAAAAGCCATTCTTCAGAACCTTAAGGCTTGTGTGTCTTTGCACAAGTATGTATATTTGTTTTTATTTTCTGTATCTATTTGAAAAAGTAAAATACTAATATATTTGATTAGCTTCTGAACATAAGCTTAAAATGAGATCCCTACAGATAGACCTCTAAATTTAGGAATTAAAGCCTAGTGATTGAGGGGTTTTTCATCCTGTTTGGTCACAAGTAATTAAAATAGTGTAGGAATGATTCTGATTTATGGCATTTATGAGTGACTCATTCCTGAACAAACCAGTTTGTTTTAACCAAAATGGAATGAGGCACTTCTGTATTAAGAATGGCCCATATGGAATTAATCAGGAACAGTTCCATGTGTATAAAAGCCTTAATTAACATTTGCGTGGGTTTCATTTGCAGTGTCTTTGCTGGAATGTATATTTGGATCTGGATGTATATATAGGATACTAAACTACTTGTAAATCAGGCCATCTTTCGTTTAGAGTTTTTGCCAGAAGTCGGAATGATTTTTTTTTTTAACAAAATCTTATTATATATTGGTGGGAAAACAAAATTAGAACAAGAATTTAAAAAAAAAAATAGTATGTTGTGCTTTCTGATTTTGTCACAGGAGTAGCCCTTTCCTCTTGCTAAGTTTAGGTTCTTTATTTTATTTTAAAAATAAATAGCAGCTTAAACCTCTTACATGCTTTAATTAACAAAGTTACTGTAGGTAGTTGTGCTGGTTTTGCTTTAATTGACATTTGGTGAGAAGGGAAGAAGCCACCTACGGAAATGATTTTTCTGGGAGAAGCTGCTAAGAGCTTTCTCTGTGCCTAGCAAAAAACAATAGCTCGCTAGCTCTGAGAATTGACAACCTATTAAACCATTTAAAAATCTAGATCCGCCTATGTGAGATCCACATTTTAAAGATGGGCAGGGCTGGGAAATCTCTCTCTTGTTTCCGGCTTTGAAGAGGTGCCCGGTACTAGTTGGACCGGCCCTGCGTGGCCTGGCGGAGCCGAGCCGGGTCCAAGTGGTGGCAGGGCGGGGTACGGGAGGCCGCGGGACCCCGGCCGAGGCTGGGCCGGGCAGCGGCTGCAAACATTCTGCTGATGCTAAACCTTGCCCCCACTGCCGGCCCGTGCCGAGCCGGTGTCTGCTGGGCCCCAGGAGCTGCTCCAGGCCGGGCCAGGTCCCCTCCGCTGCGGCTGCTGGGCAGGGGGAGGGGAAGCCATTGGCTTGCAGCTAAAATTGAAGGCAGCAGGGACCAGACACCAGCAAGAGCGACCGCCACTGTTCTGGCCAGGCCCTCAGATCTTGGCACAGCCCCCAGCGCAGCCTGAAATCCATCACTGTGACTGCTACGGCCATGCCCAGCAGAAACCTTCATGACCATCCTCAGGCCTGGAAGAGATATTAACTCTTTCACTGCACAGATGAGACCTGCAGACTTCAATCCTCTCTCAAGTGAGAGGAAAGTACAGAGTGAAGACAACATGAAGACACCAAGGTCAGTAAAGAAGGAGTCAAGTCCCAGATGGAAGGAGAATGAGATGCCTTAGTATAGGGCTGAAAGTTCTTTTGGCAAGGCCATGGAGATGGGCTATGATACACTAGAATATCCCCTTCAATTCATGAGAAGGCATGAGGAGATGGAGTGCTCAAACTGTAGATATGAGCAGAGGCATCCATAATGAAGCAAAGTGGCTGTGTAGCTGTGGTCCCATGAGAAACTTGAACAGAGAGAGAGATAAAAGAGATGAAGACCCTTCGCCCCCAGGGAGAGAAAAAGATGATCTCTGTTCCCAGAAATGAAGATGATATCAGAGATAGATGAAGAGAGCCTTTGCTTTTTAACAGCTCATCCTCAAAATAGTACCCCATAAGTTGACATGGCCAATGAACTCAGCTGTGGAGAGGCTGTGAAAATGGGAGGAATTTAACGATTGCAGATTTTCTGGGCACTGCTATTCATGGAAATTAAAAAGCCACAGGGAACTGCTTCTTGTGAAGTCTCCATAGCATGGCGAGAGAAAAGCCTCCTCCTACAAGAACTGATGAAAGACTATTGTAGATGTGGTTTGAAAATCCCAGTTTTTGTCTCTAGAAGGGGAAAAAAGAGCGGTTGTGGGGAGGGGAGGAGAAGTGTTCTGAAGGTTTTATTCTGATTCTTATTATTCTTTTAGTACTGTTAATAAAGTTTTCTTTATACATTTTAAGTTTTGAGCCTGCTTTGCCTTCCTCTTAATTCATATCTCACAGCAGGAAATGAGTAAATAATTCTAGTAGGTGCACTGGCAATTTTAGCCAGTGCTAAACCTGCCACAGTAATATTGAATGTTCTGGAGTAAATTTTCTCACTGTCAACTTCCATTGCTACAATGAAATTTCTTTAGTGAGGTAGTTTTATAGATTAGTATGTTAATAGATGTTTATGGATACATTGTTGGAGTTGTATGAGTGTCAGAGAACAAAGCAGGTTTCCAATACTTCTGTGTGGCTTTGTATATATGCATTTGTGTATTTGTGTTCCAATACTGTGTGGCTTTGTATTAAAAAAGTGACCACAATTTAATTATGTTTCTCTAAAGAAAGAAAGTGTCTATTTCATTGCCTGCTTTTGGTACTTCCTTTCTGAATAGGACTGATGTCAAGGATATTTATGGCATGCCTTGAGACTGGTGTCCCCTATTGGGGTGGCAGTAGACTTAGCAAATGTTAAGAAATGCTTTTTGTCAGGGGAGAAAAGAAACAAAGCCCTTATAATCTTGTTTCCAAAATTAACTGTTTATTTCCTTATTTGTGGAAGCATCAGTTACCTGCTCAGATAACTCTTGCTTGTCTAAAACTTTTGAATCATCTGAATTAAAGTTTACACCATTTATTTTGTGTCCTCCACTACACAATCAATCCTTGACTTCTTAATTGGAATTATGTGAGTAATCTGCTTGAAATTAGGAACTTTCTGTAAGAATCTGAGTGTTCTTAGTTTTGTTGTGCTTACAGTTTTTCAAAGCACGGACTCCCTCATGTCTGCCACAATAGACTGAACAGAACTACACAGATAAGTGCAGGTTAGCATAGCCACAGGTGCTGAGAAATAACAACACACTGGGCAATGGACTTGGTACTGGGGTGGTACCAGGCTGAGCTAACTCAAGTGTTCAGGTGTGATACCAATCATTCAGTGTAACTAAACAGATTATAATGTGCTTGACACTTTTTTCTTAAGTAGCTCCTTGTAACATTAGAGCTGAACATAAAATTAAGATTGAGCTGCAAAAGCATACAATGAAAACTGTGCAGGCTGGTGAAAATAACATACTTCAACACAGGAAGTGGTGAAAAGCCAGTGAATTGTGGATTTGACATTAAATCAAGTAAGAATGTCAGAATTTTAATCATGGCTAGCTACAAAAGGTCATGAAACATGAGATGTCTTAGACACTTTTTTGATTTGTTCAAGGAAATGCTATATATTCAAACTTACTGTGAAAATGTTTGAAGAAGGGGGGTGGGTGGGAGAGAGATTTAAAGAACTTGATACAGGTGGAATTGTAACCTGTCATGTGTATTCCTTCCTTACCTTTGAAAGAAGAAAAATCATGAAAAGCAATTAAATTTTAACGGGCATTTAACTTGCCATTTTTTGCTGTAGGACTGATAGACAGAAAGAAGTATGTGAATATGAGCAATATAATCATATCATCACATTTTGGAAAACTCCAGTTCTTTGCATACCTGAGTGGCAGAGTTTCAGAATTTACTTAGTAGTAGCTGAAAAATGGTATTTTTACATCTTATCAGTATGTATTTGCTGATATGAATGCAATTACTCCAGATTCACACCTCAGCAGAGCAAAGAAAATTATCTATTCTGAGTGAAAATATATTCTGTATTGCATTCTGCATGTCTTCATTCAGTGTTGAATGGGATTGGCTGAGGTCCCCTGTGTGACTTCAAATCCATCCTATCATTGCTTACCCATGGTCTTGTTCTAGAACGAACCAGGCTTATCCGAGTTGGATTTTCTGTTGTGGCCAGATTTATTTGTCTAGCTACAGGCCAGCTATGCTGTGACAAACTACCGACCCCGAGGTTTAACCTCTCCCCTCTACCAATAAGGAGAGACAAATGTGATGAGATATAAGTGGAAAAAAATAACAGTTTACTAAGAAAAAACAGCAATAATCAAGAAGTACAAAGGCAAACTGTTCAACCCCCATCCACGATTCGGGAGGAGATCCTGCTAATTGTCCTGGGGAACACGGACACAGTGTGGGACCGTCCTCGCTCTGGGCCATGCGGCTGCTGAGAGGGGGAACAAAGGAAACAACCCGGCAACAACCCGGCTCCAAGGAAACAAATCAAAAAAGTGTCTAAGAC